GGGGGGGGGGGGAGAAATTCTGGAAGCCTGCGTGCGGATTTCTTACGCTTTGAAAATCCCGTTTAATAACTTAGTTATTTTAAAGTTTGTTCGGCGGAGCGCCAGGGGAAGCTGCACTACTCGAACAATGGGATCGCTCGCTTTTTTTTAAACACCGAGCTGTCAGTTTTTGCAGAAGCAGGCCCTAAACCACTACGTGAAGAGTGCTAATGAGATTTTTTTTTTTTTTTTTTTTTCCCCCTTTTTAAAAAACGCATTCGTGGCCTGATCCTGCAGGCACACTGAGCGATACTGTTCACACATGTCAATACTATCTCCAGTTTATTGGCTTTATTCATGTGCATAAAATTACAGAACATGAATCTTGGCTGGATTAAAGTATGATGTAATCTTTGGCCAACAAAAATACAGTAGTAGCAGCAGCATTTCTAAATGGTAGTAAGTTCCCCTATTCGGATATTGTTTAAATTCATGCAATTGACTCATCTAATTTCCATTTTAAAGGCTAAAGAATTCTAGGTTTGTGCAAATATATAAGAAACTTCTGCAGTGCAAAATCAATTTTGCTTTAAACTTTTTGTATCCCCAGTGAAACTAGCTGTGCATGTACGCTAAGCTTTGGAAAAAAATAATTTCAGAGAGGAATCTGGAAGAGTTTGAACTATTGAAAAAGGATTATAACAAAATTCCCGATGTCTCAATAATATTATTCGATAGCAACAAGTATTGTGCCAAATTTGGCTTCAAAGCATTCTCCAAAATCATTACCCTCATGTAACACCAGTCCAGAGAAGTATATTTAACACTATTTGACAAATGTAAAGACTGACACAGAAGTGAAAAACTGCCCTAGAAGACAACAGAAAGATGTCAGCAGAAAGAAATAAAACCTCATTTGGGTGGTCTCACTGTTAGATTACAGCTTGTTGGCTGCACTTCTTTTTTTACCTAGCCCATATGGCCCAGGCTTTTTTAAATGCTGCTTAGAAAATGGACTAACCTGGTTCTGCTCACCCAGACAGGATAATCTTGTTAATCTCATAATGGCCCTCAATTTTGAGCATGCACTGGCTTTTGACTAGACTTGTCTCTGAACAAATGCTTACCATTTTATGGATGCATGTAAATGTACTCTGCTTCCTTCCCATCGTTTGCTCCTTCTTTGGCCTACAACTCTTTGTATTTTTGTGAAATTATGCAGCACTTCTAAGATCTCTTCTGTACAAGGTAGTGCTGGTCTCCTATTTAGCAGCTTTTGCTGTTCTGATTTGCACTGAAGCAACTTTAGATTTTACTAAGGCAGCCAGATTCACTGCAGGCTAGAAAATCTACACATGAATGAAAGGAAGTCATTTAATACGGCACACAGAAAATGCCCTGTGGAGAACAGGGTGCAAACCCAGCATTCCAGCTTTCAGAATGAAGACAAACAATATCTCTCAGAGAGAGAATCTTTACTTCATGCAGGCAGTCACTCAGTACAATCTGTTGTATTTTGGTGTTGGTTTTTTTGTTGTGGGTTTTTTTTTCCCTTGAACTAGTTCTCTCTTCTTTCAACTGTGACTTTTTATATCCCACTCTAGGAGACAAAATAGCAAGAATCTGGACCAGAAAAAACTCCCACCATGCAACCAAACTGCAGTCATCTCCACAACATCCAAGGGAGTGGTGATGACTCTTCATCTCAGAGCGCCCACGCAGTGAGGTTGTCAGGAGAGAGCTCATGCCATCTTAGCGGAGATGTTCGCATACAGCTAAACTCTGCTGTGGGAGAAGCCAGAGAAAATGCAAGTTCCCGGCATTCAAGGCCGGGTTCCCAAAGTCGCTCACACGGACATGCCCACAGCGAAGCAGGGGGGCTCGATGACGCCACTCCAGACTCAGAGGAACACAGCGGCAGCTCCCTCTCAGAGCTCAGATACCTCCTCCAGTGGCTGCACAAAAGTCTGCCGTATATCTTGATTCTGTGTGTCAAATTGATCATGCAGCATATAATTGGTAGAGTATAACAAAATAAGGTCTGAGGGAACAGACCCTCCCCCAAAGAGAAATACTAACAACCATGCCTGAAATATAATTAAATTTATTTTTAGCTTTATTTTTATTTGCTTTATTCATCAAAAAGAGAGACTTACTAAACTACATTTCAGTGGCTTCTGTTTCCTTTGCTGGCATATGTACTATGTGCTTAATTATTATGGCTTGATAGTCTGAGCTATTAATTGTAATTACAAAGACGTATTAGAAGTGGCTGGTTTTTTAATCCACTTTAGTAATTTTTTTTTCATTTTCTTGTGTATAACTGACCCTTTTTTCCTAATAGGCATTTCTCTTGGAATTGGGCTGCTAACAACTTATATGTATGCAAACAAAAGCATAGTAAATCAGGTTTTTCTAAGAGTAAGTATCACCCTATGCAACAAAATTATGTAAGTTAACCTTTATCCATCAATTTTTGAAAGAAATGTGAATGGAGATACTGTTTTATTTAGCTAATATTAGGTGTCAAGGTTTCAAGATGGAAGTCAAGTCTTAATGCTTCTGTACAGTGTAGAGCTTCTCAGATAAGTAAGGTTTGCAAAATTCAAAAAGAGTTCCCCCTTGCCCCTCTTGACTTTGAACACTGAAATCACTTCAACTGATAGAAGCTTTTTGGAATTTACGGGAGAACATCTTAACTGTATTTGTGGAATCAAATAGCAGTTGACAGTTTCAAACTTTCAGTTGTCTCCATTCACTGCCAAAGGAAAACTTGTTGTTCTTTCAGAGTGGGTTGGATTTTGGTTGTGTTTTTAGAAGAAACCATGATACACATAGAAATTGTTATGCTGAAAACATTAAAATTACTGCTTTACCTTTCCATTGAGTTCTCCTATTTTATTTGACCTAAAATCACTAAGATCGAATCCTCTAGTAGTAAGTCTGTTCAGGTGCAGCAGACTTCGTGCTTTGGAGATATATTCAAGACACTGATACTGAGATAAGGACTGTAATATGTCTTTACAATTATCTTACAGGAACGGTGCTCCAAGTTGCAATGTGCTTGGTTACTAGTATACCTAACTGGATCATCTCTCCTCTTGTATTACACCTTTCATTCTCAGTCACTGTATTACAGGTAAGTAGATGAACATCTCTACTCACATCATAAATTACTCAAAATGTTTCCAGTTAATACTTTATTTTATCTGGGCTGCTGCTGTTTTTCTTTAATTGTGGCATTGGTTTCTCTTTCATTTTAATCTCTATTCCTCCTCTTCGGCCAAACTGAACAGGTGCTGTCCTTAAAAACAGTATGTTGGAATCTGCAAGGTTAGACCCCATACTTAATGGCACTACTGTACCACAGGGAATGTAATGGTTGTGATTCCTGGCTTTGACCATGCCACCTTGCCTTTGGAATACTGAAGATGGCATTCTGGGGCTCTACGGAGTTTGTGTCTCCAATTATTTTTTTTCCCTTACATTCCGTAGGTACAGTCTTGGCTGTAGACGGTTCAAAAATTGAAAGGTTGTCAGAAATCATAAATGATCAATTTGCAATAAAGAGTTCATTTTCTTACCAAATATTTGTCTGCTGTGTAAACCACGTTTCCTTTTTCAATTAAACCTGTCGTGATAATCTCTGGTTATGCTTTCCTCTAAATAGGGTGTTCCAGTAACTTCTGATAATTCTTTTTGTAGCTTAATCTTCTTAAACCCTACTGTGGATTTTATGAACTTCTGGGAGGTACTTTGGATTGTGGGAGTCACAGACTTTATTCTGAAATTCCTCTTCATGGGCTTCAAGTGCTTTATTCTCTTGGTGCCTTCTTTTATGATGTCCTTTAAATCCAAGGTAAGGAAACAATTTATATTTTTTTGCTTCCTTGTGAAGATTCTTTTACGGTAAAATTAGCTAATTATTAAATTCTACCCAGAGAAAAGTCCTTTTAATTAAGGGTCTGTATATAATCCACCACTATATTGTGGGTGAGAAAACCCTATAGATTTCATGTTCTTCCCTGCTTGGTGCTAAGGAAGGTTTACAGTCTGATCTGAAACAATTGCTTGTATTATGTCATCAGATAAATGGGTTTATTTCTGTCTCTAAGTGGGGGGGGTGGAGAAACCTTTTATTTGCTGCAATGTAAGAATGTGTATACAGGTGGTTAGAATGGAGCAGCTGAAGCACTGTAAATTTTTAGCATGCTCAACAGTAACTGACATGGGAAGATTTTTAGGTCTGCGCATGCAAACAGCTGGTTTTTTCCATCTTGTAAAAAAATAATTCTGAATTTTCTTTTTGTTAATAAACTTAAGCAATATTTGTGTCAGATCAATGAATTTGATTCATAGCTTAATTCCTCAAACCAGTGAAGCTTAATAATTTTCACCAAAGCCTACACTGGTTGGTGGGGTATTTATTTCTATCTGCTTCCCGAGGTGAGACAGGCAAACCCAATTAAATTTTATGTCAAAATAGCAAATACTAGTACTGGTTAAAAAAAAAAATATTATGAACTGTAATTATTATGTGATAGCATTTGAACAGGATGTTTCAGTAGGTTTTATCTTTTAAAATGTACCAGAACAAGTTTTTCTCAGGTACAACTGATTTCTCTAAATACCAGTTTATAATCAAGATCTCTATTTTTTTTCTACAGCTAGTGATAGAACATCCAAAAAATAGTTACTGAAAATTCCATTACACCAACTGTGACCTAAACTGTGGCTAAATTAAAGAAGGAATCTGGTCAATAGTGGCAAATTGTGGCATTATCCAGTGTATATTATAGAAGGAGTATTTCTTCCCTAATATAAATAGTTTTAAAGACAAAATTAAGGAAATAAAGTAAGACCTAAGCTAAATATCTATGATTATACATGCACACAGACACAGTGCTCTGTGCAGGACACTTGTGCTTTGTCGTTGTTATTCAGTAATTTTTAGGGTGTTGTTGAACTCTGTTTACCTGGTCAGTCCAGCTACCCTAGGCTTCTTTCCTGGCCCCCCAATTTTCTTATCACCCCATCCTATACAGGAGTTAATTATCACAAGATAAGGCTTCTTACACAGGCAGGAAATAATGTTTACAGGAAGAGAGTTTGTAATTTATGTTCCTTAATAAAAGAATGGGCCTTACTCTCACCTTCTAATCCTGAATGCAGGACACAATGCTGCTAATGACAAGCTGATCTACATGGACCAAATTTTTCTTATTTTCCTTTTTCATGTAAATTTTATTTTCTTTTTTAATTCTTATGAAATTAAGTCTGATAGCATTGCTAAGTAGGTAGGCATCTGACAAAGCCATCCTGTTTTAGCCTATTAATTTGATTTTCTGCAGTACAGCAATCAATTGTGGTGGTATTATTTGTACAGTTGTGGTGAGACCTATCATCTGGTCTCCATTCTTTTTCATGCTCCATATTTAGTTGCTTCAAGATACTATGAGAGGAGGTTACTGAAAAGAATAACAATGCATCTTTTCTCTGTATTTTAAAAATCCTTTGTGTTTTAAATCTTGAGCGATTCCTTTGCATGTCTTGCTTAGGGCTACTGGTACATGCTGTTAGAAGAACTCTGCCAGTATTACCGTATGTTTGTCCCCATACCAGTTTGGTTCCGTTATCTTATTGGCTATGGGGAGCTGGACAGTGTACTAGGATGGACCCTTGGGATATTGCTGGGCCTTCTCTACCTCATCCTAAAAGTACGTAAGCTTTATAATCCTCTCAAACTATTTTGTAGTAATTATCACTGGAGGGTTAGAGACATATAAACATGTTTCTGAAAGTTCCCCTGTCTTTGAACTGACCTGCAAGTCGATGCTTCAGTTTAACTGATACAGCCTTCCAAAACTGATAGGAAAACTGGCTCAGGACACTACATCTTCTTTTTCTTGCACCTGTTCTGGGAATGGATTGGGGTTGCACAGCAAAGAACACTATTACTGTAGGTCCCTTCACATCAGACACTGATCAGACTGTTATCAGATATCGAGGAAAAGAGCTTGCAAAAATAAAGATAAAATTAATGGCTCAAAGAATCGGCATATTCCAGGAAAGTAGATTTTCTCTCTGCTAGAGTATCCTGTGTGATGCTAAACAAGTTAAAAATAAGTATTCATACTGGCTGTCTACTTCACCAAAGAGCTTATCTGCCCCAAATGTAACCAGACTCAGTACAAGTCTGGCTTGGAACATGAAAAATACTTTATAATGCTATGCTATCTTAATTATAAGTCTAAAGACTATTGCATATATGGTAATAATGCTGATATATTTTCACTTGAGTGCTTCATTTCAGAACCTCAACACTATTTTTCTTTTAAAGAACAGACACCTACTGGGAAAAAAACTTGAGGATAAATTCTTACTTTGGTTACATATTAAGCAACTAAAATAGGGTCAGTCTGAACTATAACTTTGCTTATCTTCCTGCCAACATCAAACTAGCAGTGAGACTTCCAGTGCTGGAATCTGCACAAAAGCTTGGAAGCTTTTTAGTTCACAGAGAAAAATACTATGCATAACTCAGGTTTTCTTTCCCATTTCAGCTTTTGAGCTTTTTTGGACAATTGAGAAACTTCAGGCAGGTCTTACGGATATTTTGTACACGACCAGTGAGTACTGAATTCTCTTATGACAAAACAATAAACCCAATTTACATGAAAATACTTTTTTTTTTTTTAAATACCTCATTCCTATATTAATTTGTATTGTTCTAGCAATAGACAACTGCATTTTTAAAGTAAACCCTGTATCCTTGTTCTCCTCTTTTGCAGTCTGAATTCCTTGACTGTGTGATTACGTTGTCATCTGAATAACAGCAAAAACAACCCCCAAAAAATCTATTCTGCATGTCTCTTCAGATAAACATATGTGGAATAACATACCCTTTTTGTCCTGCTTCCTACTTTTTAACTGGAATAAATATTGGTTGGATGCAGGCTGAGCTTTGTGCTGAAATATAGTGAGAATTGAAGCTTGCCAAAATAACTGACATGCAAGTAACTACTGTTAGAATTGTTAAGTTTCTAGATAATCTTTCTCTGTAGTAAGAGGTATTGCTTAGAGCCTACTATTCATGCAGTAAAATGTATAGCACAGTGTCACTAAACTAAAAAAAATAATAAAGCACTTCTCATTTTCTAAGTGCTCTCTTGATCAGATTGGAATTTAACAGTGTTTTGCACAGATGTCACTGTTAAAACAAAACTGCTACAGATTTTTCCAGTAACTGTGATTGGGGAAGATACTAACTAGACAGCATGGTAAGTAGGAGCATATAAGCTTTAGACCCCAAGAGAGCTATTAAAAAACTTAGCAACATTTTGTTGGATTAGGGATTGACTAGTGTTCCTGACACAGCAGCCCTTACTCCCAATTCCTTTCTGTCCTGGTATTTTTGTGTTTCGTCTTGGCCTCCCCCCCTCCCAGAAACTAATATCTGCTGAAAATATCTTGGTTTACAGCACTATGGGGTGACGGCCAGCAAGAGACAGTGTTCTGAATCGGATGATATTTGTTCTATCTGCCAAGCTGAATTTCAGAAGCCTATTCTGCTTATCTGTCAGGTAATACACATAATCAGAGTTATTTTTTGCAAACTTAAGAATATTTTAAACAACTGGTAAACAGAATAACATAAAGTTAGATTAGTGAGTGTATGTCTTCCGATTATTTTTAGAAATCAGGCTATGCAAATAATATACCGTCTTATACATGGAAGAGCTTAGGAGCTCTAAGTTCTCATTCTTTTCATTACAGCACACATTTTGTGAAGAATGCATCTCTTTATGGTTTAATAGAGAAAAAACGTGTCCACTCTGCAGAACTGTTATTTCAGACCATGTTAACAAGTGGAAGGATGGAGCTACATCTATGCATCTACAGATTTTCTAAAGCATGTCAAATAACTTGTTTTACAGTTTGTTTGTTCAAGCTAAGTTTTTTCAGTTTACTGCAGATTAAATTGTAGGTGGCACAAGGAATGAGTTTCCAAATTCTAGATATCATGCTTCTATGAAATGTTCCAGCATTTAAAACAATGCAGAAAATGTTAACTTGACCTTCTTAAGTTTTCAGAATGAATGCAGAAAAGCCAGCATTGCTTCTCTTCTGATTCTTGTAGGAAACAATCAAGTCCTTGAAAAATGCTGCATTACTTTTTGCAGCAGCTTCTTAATTCAACATTTTATTTAAAAGTTTAAGTAGTGTTCCAGACTGTACTAAATTGTATTTATCCTTCTAACATGACTCAAACCAAAAGGTCAACCTATCAATTTTATTATGAGTAAATTTTATACTCTGGACTACAGTGAGAATTAGAGCTACTTGTCACACTTAGCATTAAAGATCCTTTAATGCTTGCCCAGTAGATGAGAGAAATTAGCTTCTTATTCATGCACCTGTAGCAGCAACTATTTCTCACTGTACCTAGAGATAAGCCACAAGAATAAGATGTTCCCCCTTTAGGTTCTTGTAGACTTCTAATGGATCTTTGGCTTAATACATAAACCAACCACTGATGTTAGTTTTTTACTTAGTATTTTATAAAGTTGGTATTTTTAAAACAAATCTTTAATATTATATTTTTGTCATAACAGGAACCAGATTTTCTTACAGGGGAGAATCTATTTTATACTATATTTGCAATTTGTAGTATGCATAAAAATCAGAGAGAATAAATGCCTTTAAATCTATTTGTTTGGTGCATGTTGAATAAAGACACAAGATTCATTACTGTTCCAGTATTAACTTACACGTAAGCACATAACAGCAGCTCACTGCTAGGTATACCCTTCCTGTTAAACTAAAGTCTCTGAAAAACAAAAAACCTCCAAATGCTACAACTTATTCATGACTAGTCTTTATGCTAATTATAGAGCTAACTTAGGTATAATCTCACTTTTTTTTCCTGCTTGTCTTTTTTCACCTTGCTATTCAGATAAGACCGTAGAAAAAACACTTAAATTATTCTGTTACAGCAAAGTGAAATTGAGTTGCCATTAACTTGAGCTTAACTGAGTACCTTTAGGAAACTTCTACATTTGGGGGATGCCGCCCCCCCCCCCCAATTAAAAAGCTAAACACTTACTTGATGAATGCTGTAGCAACTCAAATTGCCAGGCAGGCTGACAGAGTACTATAAAGTTGCAGCTGACACAGCCAGATTTATAGAGCTGACAGGGCATGATGGGAGAGTGCCCTTAAAGGTAAAGCTACAAGTGTAATACTAGTAGAATTTAGTATTCTGAATAAAAATCTAATGAGATGGAAGATTTAAGCTAAGAGGTATCATTTTATCTTCAACCTGGGTTTTGCTATAGCATGCTGTGTATTTGCTAATTGTATTTTTGTTTGAAGTTTACTGCAGTTCAGAGTAAATGTGCCCTATGATTGTTCCACCATGGTGTCCGAGTCACTGGAGAAAAAGACTCCAGCTTAAAGAAAACAGGCAAAAGCTTCTAAGTCTGTAATTGGAAACTTATGGGAGTAGAAGAGACTCATTCTCATGGAAGCCCTTCCCAGCAGGTGAGGTACTTAGTTTGGAGAATGTGCAGCTGAACAGTTTTAGAGCAGTCCTGAGGGTGGCAGGGAAGAATTAAGAGCTTGGCCACAGCCAAAGTAATGGGCTTGTGCCTGTACCTCCAGTATTGTCAGAACAAACTGCTCTTTGTTTCCTCAGAGAGATCTAGCTATGCCTTAGCTTGCATTTGAAGTTCATACAAGATCAGAAGTGTTTTGTTATTTAAATTTCATCAGTGCTGATATTCAGACTGCTGCTGCAGCAGAACTTCCCTTGAGAGATGGAAAAGAACTGAATCAGTCAAGGGGAAAAAAAAAAAAAAAAAAAGAGTAGGGGGAACTTAAGGTTGGATTTTGAATCTCTGATGGGCCCATAGAGACTTTTGGCAGCTCACTTGGTTACATAATTGTATTTAGACTTTCCCAAACTTCATCATGAACATACAGTTCAGCTAAAGAGTGTTTTAAGTTTTTTTTCTTCAAACAGGTATTGTGTGAGTACTGTGTAAACAATTTGAGTGCTATATTTAATTTAGTCAACAAATGGCACCTTTTAAAAAAGCTTTGCTTGTGTGAGTAAAATGCATGACTAAACCCAATACACAGTTTATAAGGACAGATGTAATAACCAACCCTTTCTAAAATACTGGGCAAAACAAAAATTGTAACTTATCCTGGATTAGCTTTTCCTGAAATGCCAATACCAACAGCTTAATCACTTTTTAATTCAAAAATACTTTCAGAGAAAAAAAAAATTCATTAGACTTGGACATGATGTTAGAGTGAGGAAATGCACTTCCTAATACTTGAATATTGATTAAATTCATGGCCTACCAGTAATGGGTAGCCATTCATCAGAATTCCAGTACTCTGTGACAGACTTTCAAAAATGGTTTTAGAACAATAGGTCTAAATCACCTAATCCATTCCTGAAATACTAACTGGGAAGGTAGACTCTGAGATGCACCAGCTGCTTAATACTAACAGTTGTCCTGAAAGCAGAGCCACTACTCTACTGACTAAGGAAAAAGATCTGAGAAACAAGTACGCTTTCTTACGGCCTTATCCAGAAGATGAGTAAATAGCAGCCCCGTTGCTTATGCAGCAGGGAATAGTGAGAAGGAAGCTTGCCGCTCCATCATAGAATCTATGATTCTATGATTGTGCAAAGCTGAAGTGGTCTGTCAGGACCAATAGCTTGGACTGGTAGACCTAAGATGTACTAGGAGGGTAGTTACAGATAAGAAACATGCTGCTGTACGCATATACATTCAAAGTATGCAGGGAAATTTGAAAGAAATTAGCCTGAACTAAATATTCTTTTGCTATAGAACAAAAGCATCTATAAACTACATACTGCAACAGGTAGTTCAATATCTGAGACGGATACTGTACATTGAGGAATTAAGGCATCAAGAACTGTATGCAAGGCCAGCATTACTACTAAAAAATATGAAACTAATTTAGAAGCATCCCACTTGTGGTTAAGAAAAAAACCCACAGGAATTGGACAGTGTCATCTAGCCTGTAAAGCTCACCAAGACTATTTTATGAAGCACAACAAAACATGATGTCAGTGCTTTGAGTCAACCTTGGATTGTTGCTGATCCTTTGGTCTTTGTCTACCACATAGTAGTAACACTACCTTACTACAATAAAAGTGGATATTGGTCAGAGATAGGACCAGGGAACAATGTCTTTCATTCTCTCTCTCCGTTGATGATTTTTTTTTCCTTAAGATCCAGTGAAAATTATCCCAAACCAGTAATATTATCAAACACATTTTATTAAAAACCAAAGAACTAAAAAGAGATTTGATCAACCAGTTTAGATTTACACTTCATAAATGAAACAAGTCATTCTCATCTTAGTTACAGAGAGGAAAAAAAGTGAGTAACTTACATCCATGAATGACATCCTCTCTGATCCGCTTGTCAGCATCATGCTATTAAGATGCAACTCTTCCTTATCAAGCCCACTCAGGCCAGGGTAGCTGCCCTGCTTTCCACACACACAGACACACAGACACCCAGCACATGTCTGACTCTGCAGGAGACAGAACAGAGAAGAGGATGACAAATGGCAATCAACAGCTACTTTTTAAAAGCCCAAGAACCTAGGTAAAGGTACCAGCCTTGGTAAGACAAACCAATCAATCAGAACTAGCATCTGTCAGGTCCTCTAAGTTCTAAGTGTAATTCCTCCTCCCTCCCTTTCCCGTCAAAGCTGTCATGAAAGATGATTTAGATCCACAGTTATACTTGGGGCCTACCTACTTCAAAAAAAAAAAAAGTCACTTGGATTAGCATATGTCTAAATTTGCATTTAATTGGTATTCACATCCATCTGATTCAGCAGTTAAGTATATTTAGTTCCAGTAAACTGTGAAAGATGAAAAACAGAATAGGGATTACCTTTATTTCTACTAAGGCAGCTCAAGTTTGTTTCTTGAAGACAGCAGCAAAGCCAAGTTAATCTAGAAGAGAACAATCTGTAGAAGTTCATAGATAGGAACTGCATATAGTATATCATCAAGGATCTGCAGTAAGAATATTTAAGTAATTTCCCTTGTTCTTAATAACTTCTCCTTTATCCCCGAGGGTAAAGGATTTCCCTCTAAACTGGGAAAATGAAACAGCAACTATCCTGCTGTAGAGACAGAATTTTTAAAAAAACAACCAAAACTCAAGCACCTGTCCTAACAATAGTAGTCTTTCTCAATGTTTGATGCACTTTCTGATTAACAATGAGAGCAGGGTGGGAGTTAATATTAAAAAGAGAATAGACCCGAAGTAAACATCCATTCTGTGACTAGAGTGGACTTAAATATTAAATGTTCTCCAGCAGTTCAGCTTTTAGATAGCAAGACAAAAAAAAAGGGATATTCAAAAGAACAATTGACTCATTTATTTTTATCTTTTATTATGAGCTAATACCAGGATGACATTCAAATGTCAGATGGCACAATTAAGACAGTCTTGGTAGGAATTATTCCAGCATTCCCAAAATTACAATTTAGTACACGAATGGCATCAAATGTATGCATCACTCCCACAGAGAAAAATTATGAAATTCTGAATATTTTATACCAGAATAGTTTCTGCATCAAATGGGAAAAGAAAAACTGCTGGTAACACAGCTGACCTATAAACCTTTTGTGATAATGACCTGCAGAACAAAATATTTCCCTATTTAACATCTGGTAAAAAAAAAAATATGACTTCTGTTCAAGTTTAAGATTTAATACTTTTATATGGTTAGCCACAACAGGTATTAACCTCAGTTTTACTATATTTTTGTAATGCTACAAAAATCCTATAAAATCAAATTATAGTGAATTTTTCAGTGATTATAATTAAAAAAGCGCAGCTTGTACAAAATAAAAAAAATAAGATTCTATACTCTAATGAAAAATTTAAGACATTTTTAAATGAACAAAAGAAAGCACTTGTTAAGCTCTCCAATATTCAATGCATTCTGCACTTATCTGAAATAGCCAGACAGGAGCTAGAACTCCACTCCCCTTAGTTCACAACTAGTAATTTTGACAC